TTTTAGGGAAGAAAAAAATTAATTAGTTATTATTATAATTAAATTTGCGTTTCTATTAAATGTCGAATCACGTTCTACCTCGTATATAATTAATATAAAAATAAATTGTTTATAACTTTAATTAGAATGTAAATTATTGTTACGTTTCGAATAGAAATGGAATAAATATTTTCTATTATTTATAAAATATTTTGATTTAGAATTGAAATAATCGTAACGACAATTATAATGAATACAGAATCGTTTAAAAATTATTTTGAAAGATGTGAAATAAAACTGTTCAGATTTTATTAAAAAAAAAAAAAAATCTAATGGTAATAAAAAAAAAAATTAAACGAGACCCAAACGCAAAATCTAAAATCCTGAGCCTAAAATCACGTGTCAATGGCAAACAACAACAAAAATAAAGAAACGAACGAACCATTAAGTCTAACAATTAATTCTTTGAGCCTAGAAATGAGTCACTATGGTAGACCATGAAATGAAAATAACTATTTAAGTATAATAATTAATTTGATATTAATTTGATATTAACCCTCTTTGAACTGTTTAATTTAACATTTAAAAAAACATTTTGTAATTATTTACAAAATTGCGTAATAATAATGTCTAATCACGCTCGAGCTCATTCGATCTTTCGAATAAAACGAAAGAAAATATTTCAATTATTTATAACATTGATTTGAATAATAAATAATCTTACGACATTGTAGAATGAACAAAATCATTGAAAATAAATTCAAATTATTTCTAATAATGTTAAATAATTATTAATAATATTCTAAAACAAAAATTAATCGAATTTGTTGATAAATGAAATAATTTTAAATAAATAAAAATTAAAATCACTCTCTTTACAGTAATATCAATTCATTCTATATATATGTAAATAATAAATAATCTTACGACAGTGTAGAATGAACAAAATCATTGAAAATAAATTCAAATTATTTCTAATAATAATAAATAATTATTAATAATATTCTAAAACAAAAATTAATCGAATTTGTTGATAAATGAAATAATTTAAAATAAATAAAAATTAAAATCACTCTCTTTACAGTAATATCAATTCATTTTATATACATATATATAATAAACAATAAATAAATATTACTTTATAATTTATTATAAATATATTACAAATAAATAATAGTAAATTATAAATAAATAATAATAAATTTATTATTATTCTGTAAAAAATAATCAAATACGTATATAAATGAAATAATATGAATCAAATAGAAAACAAAATTCACCCCTTTACAGTAGTACCAAACCCCTTCAAAAAAAAACCATCCAACTATATTATAATATTAAATCAAATAACCAAGTAACGAAACTACCCTTATCATTCTAATCATTCTTCCCTTCCTCCTAAACCACCAAAAAACAAAAAACAAAAATGGAACCAAAAATAAACCAAACCAAAACAAATTCAAAATAACAGAAATTATTGAACACCGTTAATCCAAAAGAAATCCAAACCACCTTCCCAATAAAAAAGAAACAAATTACCCAAAAAAAAAGGAAGAATATTTTTCGTAAAGATATGAAAAGAAAACCATAAAGGATAACACCATAGAAAAGAGAGAGAGAGAGAGAGAGAGAGAGAGAGAGTGATAAAACGAAAACAAACCAAAACAAAATCAAAATGATAGAAATCATTGAACACCGTAAATCCCAAAAGAAATCCGAACCACCGAACCAATAAAAAACAAATTACCCAAAAAAGAAAAAAAAGGAAGAATATTTATCGTAAAGATATGAAAAGAAAACCATAAAGGATAACACCATAAAAAAGAGAATGAGAGAGAGAGAGAGAGAGAGATAAAGCGTAACGCGTGTAATAATTCGATCAGATTAAGGCCCTCAGCGAGGCCGAGCGTGTAAGCAGCCCTAATAGGGGGTAAGCATTGACTTGGAAGGGTAAAAAGGTGAGGAGGGGGAAGAGTGGTTGGTCAAGAAGGGTCGTAGGTCGATCGTACTTCAATGTGTACTACGTAATGCACCTAACTACTTCAAACTAACCACCTAGTATAGAAACCAAGGAAGGAAACAAGCAAAGCAGAGCAAAGCAAAGCAAGGAAGGAAGGGTAAAAACGTTGAACTAAGGGAACAGGGGGGGATACGGTGGGCAAAGGGAGGAGGGGGTTAGGGTCAGTAGAAGGGGCAGAGGGGGTGGGGAGGGGACAGGGGTTTAAGGAAAGCTTTGGTAATCGCGCATTAATTTGCATCACAAAGTACACGCCACCACCCGCCACGCTACGCACGCATTCCACGTACTTTTCCGCTTTCTTTCGTTTTTTTTTTTTCTTGGTTTTATATTTTTTTTTATTTTTTTTTTTTTTTTCATGATGATTATTACAATTTGTTGTAGGTGGTTAGAAAATAATTTGATCATTCAATTTATTTTTCTTTTTTTTTTTTTTAATTTTTGTTTGTCTGGTGTTCTTATTTGAATGAAATATTAAATCATCAAAGTATTTGGGGATTATTTTTAAATATTTTTGATTGATAGTATAGTTTATTTATTTATTTATTTATAGCTGGGTAATGTATAAGGTTGGAATATAATGATTAATGATATTTAATTGGTTAAATGTCATTTAGTAGTATGTAAACTAAAGAAAACGAGACGGAAAGGCAAATTTCATAGTTATCACGATGATCAAAAAACCTTTTCTCTTTCTCTGTCTTTCTCTTTCTTTTTCTTCTTCTTTCTCTTTCTCTTTCTCTTTCTGTTTTTCATAGTTGAGATTGTGGCCTAAATCTTTTTGTACGATGATATCTTTTTAAAAGAGAGGAGTGAGAGTGGAGAAATGAGAATCACGGTTGGCCGAGTACACCCGGCAATATTTAGCCGAGCTTCGGCTTATCGGGTCTGGTTGCATATTTAAGGGTTGCCATGTCAAGCATCAAGCTCGCCCTTTGAATACATTTAAATTCATTATAACACTGGCGACTATAAACTCCTCCGTTTCTTCGCGCCACTTCCATGCCACTCACATGTATTGTATAATAATAAATACTTCTTATAAGTTTTATATTTAATAAATCTGTGTATGAGTATATATATATATATATATATATATGTGTGTTTTTTGGATGTATGTATGTGTTTATGTGTATGCACATTTATATATGTATATAATTAAAATATATTCAGAGTTGATTGTGTTAGGGAAAAGGTGACTAGGTCATACGTTCGTTTATTTGCATTATTATTATTATTCAAATAATTCAAAGATATTAAAGACCTCGTTTTTATTTTTATTTTGAATGCTTATTTGATTTTATTTTTCTTGCATTTTCTTCTATTTATTTCTAATTTATTGTAATTTATTAAATATTATGTTATTAATTCTCGATTAATAAGTTGATTTGATTATTTTGATATTAATATTTCATAATTTGTTGGAATAATTTGATTTATATTTTTGTTCATATGGTTATATTATTAATATTGTATTTATTAATTATTTTAATATATATATATATATATATATATATATATATATATTTTATAAATTAAATATAATTTAAACAAAAAAATTTATATTAAATTTATATTTAAGATAAATATAATATAAATAATATAATTCAATATAAATTTATATTTATTTATTTATATATATATATAATAATAAATTTTTATACATGTAGGGGGGGGCCTTTGGGGTAAACACCCTAAAGGGGTATACCTGAAAAATAAACTTCTATATAATAAATTTTTATATTATATTAATGTGTATAATAAATATGTATATATAATATTAACTTTGATATTGTCCTTTCTATGGGTTTAAAAGGATACGTTCTCCTTTTACAAATTGTAGAATTTAACGAAAAACCTTTACACTCTATTTACATTACTTTTCAATATTAGAAGAATGTATTGACAAATAAATAATTATATACATATTATTAAATAAAAAATATTAAATAATTATTATCTTTATTATTCTCCCTTTTTTATGGGATTGATAAAAGACCATTCACTTTACACTTATCTAACAAAAAAACCTTTGCACTCTATTTGCATTAATTTTCAATATTATACAAACCTACTAACAAATAAATATAAATATTATAAAATATAATTATTAATATTATAAAATAAACTAAAAAATAATATAAAATATATTAATACACAACTTACAATTAACTAAACATATAAAAAAAAAAACTATATAATATATTTAATATAAATAAATTAAAATTATATAACGAATTATATTTGTAATAATATTAAAATTTTTGGAATAAATATAAATACAGTTAATATAATCCTAATATAGTTACTTTAACTATTACCACTTATATAAAATTATTATATATATTAAATACAATGCAAAAAAAATACACCATCAAATAATTAAAAAAAATAGCAACAATTTTTAATCACTTAATGTCAAAGATGTACAATAAATTATTATCTATTTTATGTATTATATAAGTACATATTTATAATATAATATAAAATAATATTATTAAATAATATTTAAAGAAAAAATATACAAAAAATATATAATAAAAAAATATGTATAAATATATATATACTTAATACAATCAATAAATAAATACATATAATATAAAATAATATTATTAAATAATATTTAAACAAAAAATATTAACATAATATTTAAAAACTATAAATATGCAAAATAATATTTAAAAATAAAAACTATACAAAATACATAGAAAAAAAAATTAAATAAATATATTATTAATAATTATTAAAAATATAATTATTACTCAATACAATAAATAAATAAATACAATAATTTACAATGTGAACATATATTTAGAATAATAAATATAATTTCTATTTAATAAATCATTGAAATATTAAATGAACAAAATGAATGGGTGATAAAAAATATTTTCTAAATTTTTCATTTAAACTTTTTCTTCTTAATCTACCTATATTAAATATATTTTATATATTAGTAATACTAATCAATCTTTAATTTATGTTTTAGGAAAAGAACCTAAAAGAGACGTTTTACCATGCCGCATACAGGTGAGTCACGAAAGGTTAGAAATTTTCAGCTTTCAACGATAAATCATGACAATCTTATTATCCGCAAGAATACGAACTAACAAACTAACTAGTACAAATACTCCTTTTTTAATCTTTTTTTTTTTAATCTTTTTATTGAATAATAAAAAAGAAGATCATAATCGAAATCAAGATCAAAATCGAAATCGAAATCGAAATCGTAAAAATCGTAGATCTACGACAATTATTGAAATTTTGTCAAAGATTAAAATCTAAATCTACCTGTTTTGAACTTACACCTTTCGTATATTTATTTTTATTATCTTTTTTTTATTTCTTATTTTTGTTGATAAATATTTATTACATAAATATACACCATGAGAATGATTTATAATACGTAGGTCAGTAGAATTATTGTAATGATTGTCATTTAAATTTTACATATCCGGTAACATTGAAATATAAAAAAAAAAATAAAAAGAAATAAAATAAATTTGAATTATACTACATATACATATATATATATATATATATATATATATATATATATATATATANATATATATGTATACTATACAAACACTATAATAATTAATACTATTATATTTTAATACTATTTATAATATAATGCTATATATATATATATATATATATATCTATATTATAATACTATACTATAATAATATATATACTATAATAAATATATAAACTATATAATATATTAGTATTAATTATAAAATATAATAATATATATATAAATACTATACGATAATTACTACTATTAGTACTAATATACTACATACTATTATATTATATATAGTATAATATAATTTAATATTTATTATTATATATATTTATTATATAACTATATTATATTATATTATTATATTATAATATGTATTTAAATGTATATTTAATATAGATGATTAAATAAATAAATAAATATATATAGTATAATAGTATTAGTACTAATTAGTATACTAATTAATACTAAATTAGTATAGTAGTATATAATATATAGTATATTAGTATTAGTATTACTATACTATATTCTATTATATTATATATAGTATAATATAGATAAGATAAGAAGTTTATTTCAGGTATACCCTTTTAGGGTGTTTACCCCGAAGGCCCCCCCTATATAGTATAATATAATTTAATATATATTATTATATATATTTATTATAATTATATTGTATATATAATTATATATAACAATATATATTAAATTATATTATACTATATATATATATATATATATATATACCTGTACATATATTATTATATTATAATATATATATATATTGTACTATAATAGTATATTAGTATAAGTACTAATATACTATATAGTATATATATGTAGATTATATATATATATATATATTATTGATTATATATGTATTGATATAGATGTATATTGTAGATTTTTAAAAATAATTTTTTTCAAAATCCCTCTTCACTTATTACCATTTGTAAAATCGATAAAATTATTCACCACTAAATCGCTTTTTACGCTAAACAATTTTAATTATATCCTTTCGGTTTTTTTTTTGTCTTTTTTTTTTCTTCTTCTTCTTCTTCTTTGGATTTCTCTTCAATTCATTCGAAATATCATTTAATAGTACTCAATCTTGTATTCATCTTTTTCTGCTTTCTCTGTCTCTCTCTGTCTGTCTGTCTGTCTGTCTGTCTCTCTTTCTCTCTCTTTCTCTCTCTCTCTCTCTCTTACTTACTGTTTCAAGTCTTTTTATAAAACATATAAAACGTTTCTCGATCGTTTACGATCGATAGATCTTATGGTGTATCATTTACGACTTTTCAGACTCTAATCATTTAACTTTCGCAAAGGATTATTACACACACATGTGTATATTTGACAATTATTATTATTAATGATCGATTATGATCAGCCAATTCTTTTTTTTTTTTTTTAATTTTTTCTTTTTGTGAAATTTTGAGAAATCATTCTCATGTCGAATAGAAATAAATTTGGGAGAAACATGTGTGTTCCCTAAAAATTTTTATTCAAAAAAAAAGAAAAAACAAATAAAGAAATAAAAATAAAAGGAAGTAATTTAAAATCAATGTTTAAATCGTGAAATAACTTTATCAACCAATCAAAATATTATTATTATTATTATTATCATTATTATTACATATTACAATTATTATTTATTATATTACATTATTTATATTTATTATAAATATAATTATTTATATATATATTAAATATAATACATAATTTATTAAATATTTTATTAAATACAATTTCAAAAAAAAATATAATTTATTTAAATATAATTATACAATATATATATATATATATTTATAATAATTTTTCATCGAGAAATTATTCTCACGTCGAATAAAAATAAATTTTGGGGAAACATGTGTGTTGAGAATTCGAAAAAAAAAAAAAAACATAAAAAAGAAGAAGAAACTTTGTCAATTTTTGAATCGTGAAATAACTGTATAAACCAATCAAAATATTATTATAATTATTATTATTATTATTATTATTATTATATAACATTTTTATATCATTATGCTTATTTATTTGATAAATGTTTTGAGTACGTACATTATTTTCTTTGTGTTTTTTTATTCATTTATTTTAAGAACCCTTTTTCAATATCAATAAGTATCCAATAAGGTAATACTTCATTAATTGAAAATGATTTCATAAACGATGTAGGGCCCTATACCTATACCCTTTCTCCCTTATTCCTCCCTTATTTCTGATTTTATCTTATTACATTAACACCATATCGCTTACACCTTTCATTTTTTCTTTTCAATTTTGTTTCAACGTTTATGGGGGATATAATTGGTACAGTTAAAGTGTATAATTCAGTTAACTCGTTAAATGTTATAATTATTGAATGTTTTAAAAGGGGAAAAACATATGAAAAAAAAAAAAAACGAAATTTTATTATTAATTTAAATGAATTGTTTAATAAAATAATTATATACAAATTCACGAATCATGGGTGATTGTTAAAATATTAACAGGTTCCGTGCCAAGTATTTTTTTTTTTTTCATTGTACCTGACTTGTCATTCAGGCCATTTTATTTTGCTTTAACAAAATCAACCATTACACACATGTAATTATTAATTATTGTAACTATAACAATTAAACAAACTTATGTGCTTTGTTCTATACTACATTTTGTATAATGCAATTAATATTTTAATAGGAATATTTTTCTACAGAATTTAATTTGTTATAAACATACATGTATATTTTTATGCATTAAATAAATTTATCAAATGGTAAGTGTACCACCGGTGGTACACGTGGCCTGAAGAACAAGTTTAACGTATACCACCGGTGATACATGTGGCACGGAACGTGTTAAATTTCTTATAAATTTCTTATTAATTATTAACTCTAACTTAACTATGAAATTTGTTATAAATTATTAACTCTAACTTAATTATGAACTTTGTTATAAATTATTAACTTATTTTGTAATTTAAAAATCAGCGTTCTATCATGTCTGATTTGATTTAATAATAAAATATCAATTACTCTCTAAATTCATATATTACTTTGTCAAATTTTCTGCACTCTTTATGTCGAGTATGACTCGCCATTAATTTTAATCTCAGGAAACACCTTTGTCGAGTCTCACTCGACGTTTAGTTTATCAAATTGTTTTTTTTTTTATTTTAAATATTCTTGTATACTTATGTATATATATATTAATATACTAATGGCGAGTCATACTCGACATGAAAATTTCGTTAATACTTTTCATACATATATATATATATATCTATTTGTATATAGGTATACAAGCATTATTTCAATTTTAAAATTTATTTATGACTTATGTACATTTATAATATCATATATAATATTATTTTATATTTTAAAGTTATTCGTTTATTTATGATTGTCAAATGTGCAATATTATATAACGTGTGTAACAATTTTAAATATGTTTATAATAAAAAAAAAAAAGATTAATAAAAACGAATGTACCCCACTACGCGTTGTTGTGGCTCACAATCAATCCGATACACACGTCTTTAAGTCAATGAATTACCTTATACCGCCATCTGTTAGTATCTTATCAAACTAACAGAGATAATCATGACTCTTTGTTAATAAACAAATAATTCGCAATAAAATAATATTGCGATTATAAATTGAGATATAAACTATCCTATCTTTCAAGTTGAATTAAACTGCATACAGTGTGTAAAATTTTATTCAAATCGGTTCAGTAGTTTAGGAATCCATTGCGGACAAACAACGTGACACGTAATTTATATATATTAAGAAGATGTAGGATAAAATGGGGTAAAAATTTTAAATATTATTTGTTATTGAAAAAAAAACAAAAAACAATACAATAATATGACCTTAATTGAAAAAGTAGTGTCATTCAGATGGTCGGATACTTGGAATAATATTAAACCTCGCGAAACGCTATGCTTATAGTCAACTAATGCGGACCGGAAATGATCGCTATCAAAAAGTGCCATTTAGGTTTCTGACCAAACTTTATACACCTGCCTTATTTACCTCCAATCACGTTCTATCTAAGCTAATAGATTCTTTCTCTTTCTCTCTCCTCTCTCTCTCTCTCTCTCTCTCATTCAATTTTTGTATTTTTGTAATTTATTTATTTGTTTATTTTTTTTTTACAAACACACGTGTGAAGTAAGAAATTTACTTTAACTATAAAAAAAAATAAAACAAGTCGAATGAGACTTGACAAAGGTGTTTCCTGAGATTAATACTAATGGCGAGTCATACTCGACATAAAAATGTAAGGATTTGATAAAGTAATATATGAATTTATTTTAACTACATATGTGACACTATAAATGTACATAAATCATAAATAAATTTCAAAATTGTAATAATACTGCAAAGTATTAACAAAATTCTCATGTCGAGTGTGACTCGCCATTATTATACAACTATATATAGATACAACCATAAATACAACCATATATATATATATATATATATACGAATACATTTAAAATTAAATAATACTACATGTTCTTATGTCGAGTATGACTCGCCATTAGTATATATATATATAAACACACACACAAGAGATAAACAGACATTTGATGTAATAAATTGAACGGTATATAACAGTTAAAAGGTCCCATATATACGTTTTCAATTTAAGCAGATGTTACTTTATAATGTGTCTACATGGTGTTATGAAATTTCATATTACGTTATGGGAAATGAGAAATGTACGGTTTGTTGAATCAGATTCGCTTGATTTAACTTAACTCAAAAGGGAATTTTGTATGAAATAAAAAAAAAATATAGGAGTGTGCAATGCGATGCAATGCAGTAGTGACTGCAGTGCAGTGCAGTGTAGTGCAGTTTAGTGCAATGCAGTTGCAGAGAGCAAAGGATAGGTTCGTTCCCTGTGTGTGTGTCTGTGTGCAAGGCCAATTCTGAATTATTTTTCAAAGGCATTATTTTTCGTGAATTCGGAGCAGCTTGATTTTTATGTAGATAGGACCGCCTTCCTGCTTGCTTTTTGCCGTAATAATAATTTGGGCCCCACTCACTCACTCACTCACTCACTCATTCTACTTCGGGGTCTTTACTATACTACACTCGTGCTTCTCAAGAAGAAGACCAACCACTTTCCGTATAAGCGCTATAATTTCCTCTGCTTATTTCCCTCAGGCCAATTCAGGTAGTAGTAGTAGTAGTAGTAGTAGTAGTTCCTCTTTTTCTATCCATCTTTCTCTCTTTCTCTTTATCTTTTTGGGCCCCACGCCCCCCACTACACAACTTATCTTTTTTTTTATTTTATTTTTTATTTCCCCCGTTGAATTTTTATCATGGAAATTGTCACTAACGACCAATACGATATAAACATTTGTCTTATAATCGTATTTTTTTATTGGAAGTTGTATTGTTTAATGTTGTATGTGATTGGTCCCTTCTTACCCCCACTCTCTGTCTTATTATTTTTGGCGGATTTTTAACATAGAAATTATCATTAACTCTCTTTTGTTTCATTCTGTTGAATTTTTAGTCAAAAATTGTCACGAACTGTAATACAGTACAGCATTTATTCTAAAGTAATATTTTTACTACTATTAGGATAATTAATATTAATTATTATTATTATTGTATGTGTGTGTGATTGGTCCTCTCTTTCCCCCATTGTCTCTCTCTCTCTCTCTCTCTCTCTCTTATTTTTTTGGCGAATTTTTAACTTAGAAATTGTCACAAATTGCAATACAGTAAAGCATTTATTCTAAAATATATTAATATTTTTACCATGATTAATATTATTAGTATTAATCATTATTATTATATAATATTGTTATTACTATTATTATTATTACATTTGATTGGTCCTTTCCTTCCCCCACTCTCTTCTATTTTTTGGAAGAAATATTAGTCAAAAATTGTAACAAAAATAGCAATGGCAGCACAACGTTTATACTACAATCATTTTTTTCTGCACATATATTCGTATTATTATTATTATTTTTTTTTTATTATTATTATTATATTTGGTTAATTATTACCAGAAGAATAATTGAAAAAGATCATTGAACTTGATTTAGAAATAATTCAATTTATCGATAAAAGAACTGAAAAGGAATATTTCTTTTTTTACAGAAGATAGATTTAATAGGAAAAAAAAAAAAATTGATGATCATTTTAAACAGGCGTGTATAATAAATATTAACATATGTTAATCTGAAATAAACAAATAGCTATAAAAATTACAATATATCGAAAAGAGTATCGAAGCGCGCCTTTTATGTACCAACATAAAAAAAAAAAAAATAATAATACTTTCAAATGTATAATGTTCAGGTGAGAAAAGAGTATGATGAGAAGAAGGATTAAAAAGAAATCTTTCTTTTATTTATTCATTTTTTTTTTTTTTTAATTTTTATTTTATCTCGTACGAAATTCTTTCGAGATCGATGACCGTACAAATCCGTAATTCTACTTAAAAGAGATATTAGCGTTTTATATCCGCAAGTTTATTTACATAATCATAAAATGTAGACTTTTTTATAATTAAGTCTTTATTACTCTTTTTTTTTTCTATTTTGTTTAATGTTCATACAAATGTATAAATTTATAAATATATATGTATATATTATTTTTTATTTCTAGTTTTGTCGAATTATATTGAAAGTTACTATAACAAAAAGCAAATACTAGAAAAATATACTATATTTTTATAATATTAAAATAATATTATTTTATAAATAAAAATAATATATAGAATAAATAAATAATGTAATATTTAGATTTATTTATAACTAAATCAATTTAATTATTATATTATATTATATTAGGTCGAGTCATAAGTAACTTCCGATGCGTCTATGTAGAATCTATTTTTCGTATTTACCTATTATAAGTCACCGAAACAAACGAATTTTTGATATCACTGTATAGATAAGGATTCAGTTAGTCTTCTGTCAACTTTTTGAAGTAAAAACTTCTTTAGAATGGGTGTGATTTGAAAAAATGTAACGGAGCGGTAGGCGGCTATGTAACGGAGCGGTAGGCGGCTATGTAACGGAGCGGTAGGCGGCTATGTAACGGAGCGGTGGGAGGCAATGAAACGGCCGCGATACTAAATAAGAAGAGAATACAATTATCCTACAGCAGATATTTTGTATTCGTCTCATTCTCTCGAAGCTTAGTTTTTGAAGATTTCACTTTCAACACGTGTGATCTGCACACATGTTTCTTTATGCAGACAATGTTACATTTAACAGTTTTTCTTAATTTCTGAAATGGATAGTAAAAAGTGCATATTCGACATGTAATGCTTTAGGAATTGAAACAAGGCAATAGCACTAAAATGGCAGGTAAGAAAATATACTGTGTATACGGTGCAGGATTGATAACTGTTAGGGCAGTCAGAAATTGGTTTGTAAAATTCCGTTCTGGAGATACGACGTTAAAAGACGAACCGAGTGCAGGACGTCTTTCCAACTTTGACGAACCTTTTAAAGGTAATATTGGAGCAAAATCCAATAGATACGTTGAACAATTGCAAAGAGTGCAAAAAAAAACACCATGAAAAGTGTCGTGCACTTATTAGTGGCAGAAACGCTATTCTTTGTCTCATAAAAACGGAAGTTATTTATGACTCGACCTAATATATAGTATTTTATATTTTAGTATTTATATACTATACATTTATATATTATTTAATACTAAAATATATATGATTTAATATTAATATTATAAATGTATAGTATATATATATATATAATAATTATAATAACTAATTAATATGTGGAATAAATAAATAACATATTACTATTTATTATAATACATTATAGTATTATTGTGATATATACACGAATATATAAATAAATAAATAAGAATTGTAGTATTAGTAAATGAAAAACAAATGTTTTAATGTATTCTATTTTTTTATATATATTTTTTATTTGTTTGTTTTTTTTTTTAGGTCAAGCTGGTGTGAATCAACTTGGTGGAGTATTTGTTAATGGAAGACCATTACCAGATTGTGTACGTCAACGTATTGTGCAACTAGCATTGGTCGGTGTTAGACCTTGCGATATCTCACGACAATTACTCGTATCTCACGGCTGCGTTTCCAAAATTTTAACAAGATTTTACGAAACTGGAAGCATCAGACCGGGTAGCATCGGTGGAAGTAAAACTAAGGTTAGTTTAATAATTAATTTTAATTATATTACATTAACATTATATTTTTTTGGAATTAATATCATCCCTCTCAGTCGGTAACTAGAGTAATTATAACCTTAAATACTAAATTTACAATAATTTTATTTCTTTCTTTTTTTTTTTTATTTCAAATTACAAATAAGTAAACAATATTCTAAAGAAACTTAAAGAGTACTTGGTTAATTCTGTATCTCATATATTTATATAAAAATAACATTAGTAAAAAAACTACTTAAACATGGCGGTTTAATTTATTTAAATATTTTAATTTAGATATTAATTAAATCTACCTTACCGACGCATAAAGTTATTATAATTTCAATATTATTTAAAGTATTGTCCCCTTTTAAAATATTAAAATTAAATAAACAATAATAATAATAATAACGAAAAAAATATTATTTTATCATCGTATTCTTTAAACAACAACAACAACAAAAACAACAACATCAACAAAATATAAACAAGCAGCAATAAAAATGAAAATAAATCGAAAGAGTAGAGTTAGGAATGAAAAAAGAGAGCGCGAGAAGATGTTAATGGGGGTAAAAGGGGGATGAAGTGGGAATGAAGTGGGAGAGAGGGGGAGGGGTAGGAGAAAGAAAAGGTAAGATAATATGGCGAGAAGGAAGGTAGAGTGTGGATGCTTCTTCGGACATTCCTGATGTGATTTTAAGTAAGGGCCTATTTGTGGTTCAGTTGTGGTGTGCGTGTGTTGACCATAAGACGCAATTATCCAAACACCTTGCGACGTCGTAGGATTTGCATAATTTCATGGCTTTTGCACGCTTTTCTTGTTCGCGTTTTGTAGTACGTTCGCACGGTACGCCCAGTTTTTGAATCACGGGGAGGATGATGTGATGTGCGATCATCATGGTCGTCGTCCTTCTCCTCTTCTTCCCCATTTGGAATCTTTCGGGATCCTTTCGTGCATTAAATTAATCAGGCCACTCACTACTCTACATATATATTTATATATATGTATATATACATATATATAGAATTTATATGTGAATAATATGAATCTTTTCATCTTCTTTTCGGTAATTTGTTAGAAAAGAAAAAAGAAAGAAATATAATAAAAATAATAAGATGATCGAAAGAAAATGGAAAAAATTACACGCACGATTTAATGAACTTTCAATCTCCGATGCATCAAATAATCGCAGTAGCTTTTTTTGTTTCATTATTTGTTTTATTTTTTTTTGTTTTTTTTTTTTTTTTTTCTATTTGTTAATACTGACATTATTAATGTTCTTAAAATATTGTAATTAATCATTTGAATGTGTATTTATGTTGAATGTTGATCAATAGTCAATAGGAATTAAGTTATGAGAATATAAATGGTGAATATTAATTCTTTTATTTTTTATTTTATGTTTTTTTTTTTTTTTTACTGATTGTGAATTGATTTTATTTTTTGTAACAATTTTTGATTAATTTATTCATTTGATCAGAAGAAGATATTTTAGAGTATTATATTTTGTATGTTCTTTCTTTTTTTATTTTATTTTATTTTTTTTTTAAATGTTTAGGTTATTTTTTTTTTTTTATGTAAGAAAATGAAATGTGTAGAAGACGTGTTGATAAAAATGGAAAATGATAAATAAAAAAAAAACGAAAATGAAACACAACGAGTACATTATTTTTGGTAAACAAATATTAGTAAATTAAAATATGTAAATATTTATTTATAAAAATGGGAATAAACTTTGATCTTTTGGTTACTAAATAAAAACTAGAAAAAATAAAACACAACGAGTAAATTATTTATTAATCAAAAAGAATATTCTTTATTTATTTATGAACGAAAATATATTCATCCTAAGAGTATGTAAATTAAAATAATATTTATATATTTATTTATAAAAATGGCAATAATAAACTTTGACCTTTTGGTTACTAAATAAAAAAAAAGAGAAAAAAAAACAAAACACAACGAGTAAATTATTTATTAACCAAAAAGAATATTGGTTATTTATTTATTAAACAAAATATATATTTGTTGAAAAAATGTGTAAATAAAAATAATATTTAAATATTTATTTATAAAAATTTTAATGAACTTGGCACATAATTTTTGCAATTAAAAGAAAAAAATAGAAATAATATAAAACACAACGAGTAAATTATTTATTAATTAAAAAAAAATATCTTATTTGTTCGTACCACACGTATTGAAATTTATCAAAATGAAAAAATAATATTCAAAAAATGAATTTCTATTTTAAATTTTTTTTTTATTTTTTATTAATTTTTCGTTCAAATTCATCAATTGTCCCATCAATTCGTGTAAACAATTTTTTCTGCATTTTTTTTTTCTATATTTTTATTGAGACTGTAATCATTGATATTATATTATCAATCTCAATAATTAATCATTGATTAATTTTAAATATTAATAATTTATAAAAATGAATGAAAGAGAAAAAAAAAACAAAAGGAATGTGAATGGGGAAAGATTGTAAAAAAAAAAAAAAAAAGAAAAAAGAAATTTACATGGTTTCCCATAAAAAGCGCAATGAGAAATCCCGTGGTGTGATATAAATGGGGTATATTCGATAAGAGTTTCATAAAATAAACTAACGTATATACATTCTAAGGGAATATTAAACGTCGTAAAATAAATGTCCTACTTTATAAACGAGTATTCGTAAAGGGCGTAAATATTATTTCTTTCTTACATTCTTTTTTTTTTTTACATTTTTTTTTTTTTACAATATACATATATATGGTAATTCAGGTAATATATGAAATAACTAAGTGTTTCAAATGAAAAACTTATTTTTTTTTTTCTTAAATAAATTATTAATAAAATTAATATATAATGAAATTATATAATAAATATATAATATGGTAGTTCAGGTAATATATGAAATAACTAGGTGTTTCAAATGAAAAACTTATATTTTTTTTTTTTTAAATAAATTAATAGTCAAATTAATAATATATATTAATATATATTATCATTTTAAATTAATTATAAATAAAATATTAATTATATTATTAATTTATATTTAATAGAATTAATAATATTATATTATATAAATTATAATTAATAATTATATTATAGAAATTAATAATATATATTAATTTATAATATATATATATATATATATATTATAAATTATATATGAATAAACTAAATAATAATAAAAATTATTATAAAAATATTAATTAATAAAATTATAATAAAAAGATAGTGTAAACTTATATTTTATATAACTAAATATTTAATAAAAAATAAATATTTTTATTTTATAAAAAATAAAACTATATATATTTCTAAATATTAAAATTTATAATTAATTAAAACGTATTTTTTTTTTTTTTAATTTCATTCTACAAAATTTGTTAAATGTGATTTTAATAGAAAATTTTTTACATTCCCTATGTTATATATATATATATATATATATATATATATCCCACCCCAGTATTCTTATAGAACATGAAAAAAAACCAATTAAAACGTATTTTTTTTTTTTTTAATTTCATTCTACAAAATTTGTTAAATGTGATTTTAATAGAAAATTTTTTACATTCCCTATGTTATATANTTTAATTTCATTCTACAAAATTTGTTAAATGTGATTTTAATAGAAAATTTTTTACATTCCCTATGTTATATATATATATATATATATATATATATCCCACCCCAGTATTCTTATAGAACATGAAAAAAAACCAATAAAAAAATAATCTTCTTACAATCGTATCATTCGAAAAATATTTGAAAGGTTATATTCATTTTATCATGAAACACCCTATATAATTTAAAAAATTGATATTTATTGATTTTGATTATGTAAAATATATTTTTAAAATACAATATAATAAAAATGTTCAACCTCGTGATTTTGTAAATTAAAAATGGAAAGGAAAATTCTCGTTAAAATTAAACTCTCCAACCACCAACCCCCCACCACCACCCATACACTACATAAAACAAAAAATTGTTCTTCAAATAAGAAGAAAAAGGTATTGTAAATAAAAATAAAAATAAAAAGAAAAAGATCATTTTGTTCAGTTTTCTCACGTGCTTGATAATATTGTAGAAAATGATGAAAACGATTTTCGTGTAATGTAATTCTACTTATAAACTCTAATAGAAGCCCCTTAGGCGTGTGATTTTATTCGTACTCATACACATATATAGATACTCAAGACACACACTAATGAGAATATAATTCTATAGTTTCATACGTATGAGAAATTTACTTCTAGAAGAAAATAATATGCTCATCATCCATTTTTGTATAATAGACAAATTTTTCCAGAAAAAAATCCAAGAATGATTTTATTGTTTGAACTTTTAAGGTTAGAATTGTGTTATTAGTTAACCTAGAAATATTTGATACATTTTTTCTAAGTTAAGTTAGTTATTTATACCTTTTAAGAATCCTAGATATTTATCAGTATCATCGATTGTATCGTTAGTCGAATTTTGAAAGATCATTCGAAAGGTAAAGGATCAAAGAAAAGTGTAAAAGAAAAAAGAAAGTCAAAGAAGAATCTGTCGAGATCATTATCGTCATATTTTTACCTGCATCTTACTCTTCCTACATGGAATTAGATCGAAAGATAGTATAGACCCTTTAAAAAGAGTAGACCCTTTTACGGTAATTAAAATAATCGATAATTAAAATGATCGATAATTGAATAACGACCGGGGTCTACCATTTTTTTTTTCTTGGTCTTTCCTTTTCAAAATTTTGTGCTCATAATGTGTGCACACACATACGCTGTTTATGTCTATTTGTGTAAATGTGTGTGTGTGTGTGTGTATGTAGAATTATCTTAAAAGAAGCTCTATACCTTTAAGTTCCAATTTTCTTTTTGTCATTGTCATTTTCGTCCATTAAGAACACCTTTAATTAATTAATACCGACCTAAAATATAAAGCACACTCTCTATGATCCTAGGATCTGAAAGAGAAAAGCGGTATTAAATTAAAAAGGAACATCTATTATAAT